GGATGAGTTTTTTTGTGTTGTTGGGCGAGGTTTTGCGCTTTGGGGGTTTGCAGGACGCTGTTGGCGTCTGTAAAGTTATCTATCAAGTGGGCGCTAAAGCCTGTGCGCGCTAGGGTGAGTGGGATGCTGACGTCGTCGCCTTTGTGTAGTAGGTGTTTTATTGGGTTTAGCGGGGTGACGGTTAGTGGGCTTGTGGCGTGGTTGGCCGCTTGCATGGCGGCGATGTGTTCTGGTTTGGCATAGGTTTTTACTTGGCCGTAGTGTGGGCTGGCAGCGCCGACCAGGTCGCCTGCCATGACGTGGTTGGCGAGTTTGTCTGCGCCTTTGGCTGATGTGCCTTGGGGCAGGCAGCCCTCTAGGCTGGCTGCGCCGTAAGCGTTGAAGGTGTGGCCGCCTAGGCCAAAGTGGTGGGCGGAGAGTTGGGCTAGTGTGCCGCCTTGACTGTGGCCGGTGACGGTGACTTCGGGTACATTTTTGTACATTTCAAGCTGTCTCGGTGATTTGCTGAGTTCTATGGCTTTTTGCGTTAAGGCCAGTGCTTCTGGGGCTTGGTCGTTGGTTTTGCTGTTGACCATTTTAAAATTGGTCAGACCGTCTTCTAGCGGTTCGCGGCCAAATTCGGTGCCTCGGTGGGCGGCTACGATGGCGCCGCTGGCTACGTGTTGGTATATGGCGCCTTGGTAGCCGGTTTTAGGGTTGTTGACGTAGTGGAGGACTTTGTAGTCTTCGCCGTTGATTTTGAATTCATAGGGCTTATTTGCCGAATGGTGACGAAATGCCTCTTCTAACCTGCTCTTGGAATCATACACATCATCCGCTAATTGGGCATGCTGTTGCTCAGTAAGGCTCATGGTTTGACCTCCTCTAGTTTTAGGGTGATGGTGAAATAATCAGATGCTTGTGTCCAGGCGTTGTTTTTTTCTAGAAATGATCGTTCTGCTCCTGAATTTATTGGATTCTCCATTGTAGATCGCGGATTGCGCGGATAACTAATTTTTGGATAATACAACACTTTCTCGCGATTAGGTATGATGTCTTCTGCATATAAATCGGCAATAAACAAGGTCTCCCCTTCTTGCCCTGTAGCCTTAAAAGTAATGGTTGCAGCGTCAAACTGCCAATTGCAAATCCCTAAATCAAAATAGTCTTCACTCAAAATGCCATCAGGTTTTAGGATGCCAGAATATTCATTGGGACCTTTTTGAACGTAAGGAATTGGAATGGAAGCATCTAGTCGTATTTGCCCCCCTACTAAGCGATTTTTATTATCTGGCAAACAGGGCTGGTTTTGCACCGAGTAGACCGCATTGCCACCCATGCGCACCAACGGCCCCGGCGCGTCCTTAATCTCTACTTTTAGTCGGTAGGTTTTTGCATCTGGATTGGCGTGTAAAGTCACCTTGCCATTGTGTGCTTTGCCTATCACCGTCTTACCTGTGGCGGCGTTTGCAGTGGTGACGGGTGGGCTGCCAGTTGTGTTTTCTGAAGATTTGCCACCTTTGGAGGGCAGGCACGCCGCAAGGAGAGTAGAGATGATGCCCATAAGGATGATGTTTTTCATATGTTTAGCAGTGATGTCGTGGAGTCTGATTCAGAGGATTTGACTGTAGCACAGCTTGGCATGGTTTTGCTGACATGGCCGCTAGCGCAGTCGAGTTGATGCTGTTAATTTGCTCTCATGCACGCACAAGGCAAAAATTCGCCTCCAGCCCGCTATTTACGCGGGTTGCAGCGGTTTTTAGTGCCAAAGTGGACTTTAGGGCTTTTTATGACGTCAGCCCAGTATTCATGCGGGTTACAAGAGGTTTTATAGGGCTATGCTGTTTGGCGTGGATGATTGCGCAGTTAAACAAGTAGTTGCAGGTTTTGCGCCATATCTTCGGTCGGTAAACGCTTAAAGCCTGAGCGGCAATAGCGTAGCAAGCAGCCTTGGATGGTGGCGCTTATTAAGGCAGCGCGTTGATTGGCATAGACAGTGGGGGTGGCCGACTGCGCAGCCGCAACGCGCAAGTTTTGTCGCAAAGCTGCTTCAAATTTATCAAAAAACAACAAGATACGCTCTTGCAGGCGTTCATTTTCCAGCACCAAAGCTTCGCCCGTCAAAATGCGTGTCATGCCAGGGTTTTTTTCAGCAAATTGCAAGAGCATGGCTGCTATGCGCAGCGCTTGCGCGCGTCCTTGCTGGGCGCTTTGAGCGTCGGGTTGTGCAGGGTTTTGCTCGGCTTGGTTAATTTGGTTGATGAGTGCAAATACCGTGTCTTCAATAAAGTCTATCAAAGCTTCAAACATCTGCGCTTTACTGGCAAAGTGGCGATACAGCGCTGCTTCGCTCACTTGCAGTTGCCGCGCTAGCGCAGCAGTGGTAATGCGCTCAGTACCTGGTTTTTCCAGCAGTTGCGCCAAAGTTTGCAATATTTGCAAGCGTCTCTCCCCGGGGGAGGCTCGTTTATTCACTGGTTTTTCAGAGCTTTGGCCATCTGCTCCGTACCCCACTGGACTTATTACCGGAATAAAAGCGTCGTCTTGCAAGGCCTTTACTACCGACGGGTCTATGCTGATAATGTCCCCCACTTGGCCTACGTCGTGCTCCATTTGCGGGTTTTGCAAATCGGGCATACGCAGCTTTTGGGCGTGTATCATGGCGCCGTCATGCCCCGTGAGCCCTACTGCTTTACCACCCGCTTGGTTGATAAGTGCAACGATGTCTTGCTGTACTTCCCCAGCCAACACCCATTGCACGACTTCCATAGTTTCAGCATCGGTAACTCGCATGCCTTGCACAAACTCGCCTTTCTTGCCCAGGCGCTGCAAGGCATTTTCGATTTGTGGTCCACCGCCGTGTACTACTACAGGATTCATACCCACAAGTTTCAGTAAAACAACGTCTTGGGCGAAACTGGCCTGCAAGGAAGGGTCTGTCATGGCGTTGCCGCCGTATTTGATAACGAGTGTTTTGCCGTGATAGCGGCGTATATATGGCAGCGCTTGCGCCAAAATTTCTGCCTGATGGTTACTATCCAAAGCGCTAGGCGCTTGTGTATTGCTGGGAGTATGCATAGAGTTTACTTTTTAGTAGAATTTGGGGGTTTATCGGATTTTTCCTTACGCAGTTGGGCGCGGTAGGCGCCAAGCCAGCGTGGGGTTTTAAATCGCACCAGCATCATATACGCCAGCACATAGCTCACAATAAAAAGTAAGCAGAAAAATATCAGCACGGGCGTATTATTCCAAAAAACCACTGCCGGTACTACCGTGAGCAATGTGAAGCTCCAAAGCCAAGGCGAAGTGCGATTGTTGCGGATGAGCATTTGGCGCGCTTCGTTGTCGTGGAACACGCCGCGCACTATGCGTCGATAGATGAGTTGGTGCAAATGCAAAGCATCTGCCATGCCAGGCGAATCGCCACGGGCAATTTTTCTGTACATGGAAAATAGCGTTTCCCACACCGGATATATCAATAAAAGCATGGGAAACCAAGGGGAGACTTGCGGGTGGCGCTGCACCATACTGATACTGAGTACGGCGATGACCACTCCCCAAAGGTAGGCTCCGCCATCGCCAGCAAATATCAAACCGCGTGGGTAATTCCACAACATAAATCCCACTGTAGCAGCCGCCAGGCACAATCCTATGCCCGCCAAATAGCGATCCCCCAATTGCAAACTCACATGCACCATTGCCATGCAAATGAGTATCGTCACGGCTCCAGCCAAGCCGTTGTACCCGTCTATGATGTTAAATGCATGGGGTAAGCCGCAAATAGCCAAAATGGCCAGGCCCACTGCAGCCCAAGGTGTGGCTAGCAACCAGGAATCTAACCACGGAATTCCCAAGCGCTGCACACTAATTCCCATCAGCCAGCAAGCCAATCCAGCCGAACAAGCAGTGAGCATGAGCCGGTATCTGGCTGCCAGTCTTTGCGTCAGGTCTTCATAACACCCCCCTAGTACTGCAGGAAGTACCATGACCATCCAGGGCCAAATTTGTGGCCAATTGGCCTGGGTATAGATATTGATGCCCCACGCGCGCTCTATCGCCATCACCGTCCAGCCCGCCAAAACGCCGCACAATATGCCCGCACCGCCCAGCCTGGGCACATCACCCATATGAAAACGTTGGGGCTTGTCGCCATCGTAGTGCTTGGTGTGATCCCGTGCCCAGCGTATTAAGAGCAAGCAGGCTAGACAGGATACAAATGCGCTAATAATGAAGAGGATGATCACTATTAAGTTTCCTATATGTTTTATCTATATAACTGTCAATAATTCATAATATACTTATAAATTATTAAATTATTAAATTATAAATAATATTATTTAAAATATGGCAACCAAACTATGGCGTTGCCGGTTGCACTTTAGCAATCAAATCTAAACGACGTTGTATCTGAGCGACCAACGCAGTATCGCCTTTTTTTTGCGCGTGCGCAGCTTGCGCCATCAGCCAGGCCATCAAAGGTCTGGTCCAGCCTTCATCGGAGGCAGTATTGACCAATAAATCCAAAGCCTCGGGCTGCAAACGTTCACTTTGCAGCGCGACCCCTGCTGCCAGCAGGCGCGAAAGCGGGTCAGAAATCTGGGCAAGTTTTTCTCTACTCACACTGCCCAGGGCAACGGTTTGTTGTTCTGGTGGTAATAATGGCACATCTCTAGGGCTAATCTGTCCTTGCAGATAGCTTGCATAGGCCAGCTGATCGCTGCTAGCATCAGCACTATAGGGAGCAAACTCAGGGCATGCACTACCTGCCAAACTGGCCACTTGCAAAGCGCACATATAGAGTTCAATTTGCGCCATCTCGCGCAGTTTCGCAGTGGCAGCCACATCCTTGCGCGCAGCCTTGGCTGCAGATGCTGCGACTTTGCTGTTTCCCGCAAGATACGCCACTTTTACAGTGTTTAAGTCGCTGGAGGTGTTTTGCTGCCAATCTTTGGGCGATGGCCCGCTGCTGCAAGCCACCCACAGTGGAGCGAGCAAAAAAAGCAAACTAATGCGCACAGCAGGATGAATAATCATTTTCACGGCAGATTGTGTCATGGCAGCTTCACCTGCGTAGGGCTGCGCGAAAGTGGCCATAAGCGATTAATTTCATTTGCCAAACTATCTACTTTGCGCAAGCTCGCCTCCACCTGGGCGCGCAGCGCCACCAAATCGGTGCTGGCTGCGTTGACATTGCCAGCAATAGAGTCAGCTTGAACCAAAATCGCATCAACCTTT